TGCTGGGATGGGGCATCTCCCTCAAACCCTGGGGGGTCCCTATAGCCCTGGCCTGGCACAATCAGCAGCCTTCCCGAGTCACTCCCATGGACAACTGGGTTACAGTACCTGAGTGATTTGGCCCAGTTTACACGTCCAGGGGTGAAGCAGGTGTGAATATATAATTTTTTATTATTTATGAGTAGAACTTGAATTTTTGTTGTTAGAAGTGGATGAGTAGGAAATCTAAGGAAAAGAACAAATTAATTAGTCTTTTAAATGATCTTCTCTCATGGCATGACCCAGAGAGGGACAAGGGACCTAATATTTGTTTAAAGGCAGCAGTTTCTGAGCCAGCACAGACTGAGCTTGGCCATAAGAGACGGTCCGATTCTGCCTGAGACCCTGTGACACTGAACAGGATGAAGAGGTGGTGTGCATCAGCCACACGCAGAAAAGAGGACTCTTTTGGGATGTGAGGTCCATCCTGACTGTAATTTCTCAACAATTAAGGCATGCTACATGCTCTAGGCTGTACTAGTGATCTTTCTTAAATGTAAATGAAGCCTCACCTTTTTTTTTAATTACTGGCAAAAATACCCATGAAAATGAAGTTCCACTGATTACTTGGCTTTCAAATTCGCTAAAAAGACAGAGTAGGCTAATTGGGGCTGCAGAGTGCTGCCCAGCAACAGTACTGGAGCCAGTTCCCAGGAGCACCCAACAAGCAGCTGCTATCAAATTATTTTCCATCCCCATTGTTAAACCCCAATTGGACATTTCACAGATGGGAGCTAGTTCCCTTGCCAACCTCAAAAGCACAAGAAAAACTCCCCACAATGGTAGGTCCAATTAGAGGTCCACACAGAGGGCTTGTAGTATGTATATAAGTGGACTTTGGAAGATTTAGAAACATGCTGAGATAAAGGCTACATTGTAGGCCATTAACTTCACAGCACCATGTCCTACTGAAAGAGCTTTTGATGTTCTTCCAAGAGAAAATGTGGCTCCAAGGAGGATGAAAGTATTCATGGGAATACGAGCTCCCTAACAAGGCAATATGAGGTCCTATGGTTTGGTCTGAATTCCTCTTCCCAGCCTCTTCTCCAGTCATTCTGGTCCATGTACAGTCCAGGGATAAGGCACCCTAAGCATGCCTATGTCAAGCTTCCCTGCCATGTCATGTGCTGTTAGTTTTCTTAGCTCCCTAGTAAACTCTTACTCATCCTGTAAGGCCCAATTTTAAAGGTTTAAAGGATTTTTTTCCCATGCTGAAAATTCATTAATGGGTTGTCATTCCTCTCAGGGAAGATAACCAAATCTTCTCCAAGGCCCAAAAGACTGCATGTTCAGGTTCTTGCCTATACTACAGGCCCTACCTTCCAATACTTATCTTCTGACTGACTATTCTTCAGCCTCAATGACATTCTTTCTGACCTGAGAGGGCAGGTTTGTGTGTGGAGGTTAGTCCAGGGGAAGTAGAGAAAAGTCAGTGCATGCAAGGAGCCATGGGGAGACCCGAATCACAAAATCCAGAGCATACCTAGGTCTTGCAGACTGTCTGCCATGTTGGATTTGCACATTAATTTGACTGAAACATGCCAAGCACATGGCATGTACTCAGCACCTAACCCTTATAACAACCCTGTGAGCTAGGTATCACTGTAGTTTTATGGATAAGAAAATAAGAGCTCATGGAAGTTAGGAATTCTGCTGAATCCACACAGCTAGTAAGTGACAAGGCTGGTTTTGGATATGACTCTAACTGAAAATTTTCTGACTCTAAAGCCCGAATTCGCTTTTGTTGTTATTGTTCTGGGTCGGGGAGGGGCACTGAAGGGAGTATATAGAAGGAGATTAGCAAAGGACGTACAGAGTTCCCGTGGCTTTTTGATTCCAGGGTCGTCAGATGTCTCATAAGGTAAAAAGTTTATAGTGTGTCTTTCAAAATACATCAGCTCCTGCATTTTTCCAAACACATAATTACATCACAAAATGATCAACTAGCAACAGGAGCAGTGAGCCACAGAGAAAGGAAAACAGTTTGAAGACACTGGGTCAGGCAGATTTGACTGGGTGACCTTGGGTAAGCTACTTTACCTCTCAGAGCCTCAGTTTCTTTATCTGCAAGTTGGGACTAACAGCACTTTCCGATACGGTTATAAATATCCCATGCATGTAAAGAGTCTCCTTGCAACACTGGCTCTTAAAGAATCCACCAGGAAATGACATAAGGCACTTTCACTCACATTTAAGTGGCCAAAGCAAGTCACATGACCACACCTAACTCCAAAAAAGAGTGGTCCTTGCATCCGTATGGACAGAAATGCTCAGTGAACACTCTAGGAGTCATTCTTTCTCCCACATTCTTGTAAAATAAACATACACTTTGGTTTAATGTTTGAAAAGCATTTTTGTGGAATAGCTTTTAAATAAATTGTAATCAGATATAACATAGAGCTGCTATTTATGAAGTCACGATTCCATCTTCAGATGTGGTCTAGGATACTGGAGAAGGAAATGCTTCACAGAGAATGGAGTCAAGGGTCACGAACAACACTCCCTACCCTAGAGGCCCTTACAGTGTCTGCCCAGAGAAATTTCAGAATTGCTATGGACCACAGACTACTGTATTTCTCAAATTGTTCCTCTTTCTTAATGAAAGTGTTTTTTAGTTATTTTGTCTCATTCTACTGTTGCATAGTATGTGTGTGTGTGTGTGTGTGTGTGTGTGTGTGTGTGTGTGTGTAGGGGATGATGATTATGGTGGTGGCAAATAATTCTTCGTTTCTGTATATCTCAAGATCAACTAGAGCCACATCTGTGACTGGTATAGAGCCTCCTATACATCTTGTCCTGATGAAAAGACCACCAGGAATGACTAAGAAAGGCTGAACATTAGGCTTGGAGTCAGTAACAGATGGAACTTTCGGGTTGTCTCATTTAGGAAAGGGTGATTATATTTTTTTTATGTGGGAAGAATAGTCAAAAAATATCTTTTGACTAGGTGGACAGTCTATGGTGTTCATCAGTGTTGTTCATAAAATATTTTCAGTTTTTCTTTCAGACACATTATAGATTTCACTTCCCTACCCTGCTGGAGCTGTGTGTGGTCATAAGACTTGCTTTGGCCAATAAAATGTGAGTAAAAATAATTGGTGTTACTTGTTGGTGAAAGCTTTAAGAGCTTGTGTACCATTCATCATGGTTTCTTTTTCCTCTTTCTCAGTATCCAGAAATGTGGCTGCTCTGTCTGCTTGGGACCCAGGCTGAAGAAAAAGCAGAGAAGAGCCTCGATTGATTTGTAGTAGATATAAAGGGAGAATTATTTTAAGTAACTGAAAATTGGGGTTTGCTTATACTACAGTACAACTCAGCTTATTTTAATTGATTCAAAGAGATGATCTTAATTCTTTATAAAATCATTTTTTATTTTGGTGGGATTGTTTCTCTACCCAGTGGGAATGTAGCTGGCCTTGCAGAGTTAGGGGCAGGTTTCCACTGAAGGCTGGGGTGACGGAAATCCAGATGTAGTCTCTGGGGGCCACTAAAGAAGAGTCATGGTAAGATTCATGGTGAGGACATGAGTAAAGCCCTCTTATTTTATGGGCAATATCCAGGTTATGTTCCAAAATATCCTTAGGTTGGCTACAGTGTTGGCTGGGGCGCTGGGCCACACCAGAGGGCCATCGCTCTAGCACAGCTGTGTTCAGTGACTAATGATTCCTGTGAAACCTCTGAATCAGTGCCTTGCTATACTAATTAGTTTCATGGACTTTCGCCAGATGACATAGTCTCCTTTTCCTGATATCGTAGGGAATTCTGCCCTACTGATAAAACGCTCATCTAGTTCTATTGAAATGTTTAATGAACTTCTTACTATTATGTGTCATATGTCAGACATCAAGTAGGTGACCTAAGCTCAAACACATATTTTCTTCCCTGGTCTCATGTGCTTTATTTCCTTCCTGGCTTTTGTATTCCTTCCGCTCCCAGGACTGTACTATGTGCACTTATTTCCATCTTCTCTCACATGGAGCTACCTAGAACTCACTTTTTGTCCCAACTCAGAGAGGCCTATGTCTTCTCTAGTTCGCCTTTTTGGTTGGCTGGTCCTCTGAAGGCACATTCTTATACCATAGTCCTCTCCCTTCAGGCCCCCATGGTGAATGGTCAAGGTCACAGATCTAAGTAACTTTCACAGAAGCTATCAACATGAGGTTGGTCCATCTCAAAGTACTAATATGCTTATTTTGGGGGTATTTTTCTTCCCCTCTGCTCTCTCATTGGCACATCAAAGCACCACAGCTCTTCAGGGAGTGAAAACAGAGTTCAGTGAATCTGAGCGAGACACAGAAAGGTTACGTGCCTGATCTTTGGAGAGCTGTTTTTCCTGAGTCCAAACAGTGGAGTAGCCTGGATTTGGGGATTGGAGGAGAGGCAGCAGTAGAGGAAGTGACGAAGGAGCAGAGAGCTTTGAGTGGGAAGGCACCAAGAAGCCTCTGTCTTTGGTGAGCGGGGCTAGGGCTTAGAGCTGAGCTGAACTTGAGAGTGGCCTCCCACAGCCTTGCATGTTTGTGAGTTCCCAGAACAGAGGGCTGGGTGCTTGGACAACATGCATGGGGATAAAGGAAGACCTTTGGCTCCTGACCAGTCTGGTGCTTGACAGAGCCAACTGGCCATTTTGATACAGGACTCTATATTTAGCCTTAGCTTATTCATAGCCCTGGTTTGAAACTGGATAAGGTTCCAGAACAATAAAAGGCATTAGCAACTCAGAGGCAACCATGAAACTACTCATGCTGATCTAAAATCAAAATTGGTTTCAAGCCAAGAGCTTTATTATTACCCAAGCTTAGTGTCTGAATTAATCCTTATTTTCATTAGTTCTGTTTTATCAGTAATGGGTAGTAAATTTTCTTGGCTAATTCCCATACCACTTGCCTTTCCCTTTTCTCTATCAGTACCTTTCATGGACTGTACACAGATGGGTCAGAAAGAAGAGCCTGATTTAGGGTTACCTTGCCAACATGCGCCGACCGTAAGTTGCATGGCTATGTGAGATGGATGAATGGGCCAGTCGTTGGTCACCAGGTATGGTTCATACGTTGCTCCATCCATGTACAAGGTAACCACAGGAAACTCCACATTGATGACATAGTAATGCCACTCTTTGTCACAAATCTAATGAAAAGAAAGAGAAGCAACAAATTTGAATATGCAATGAAACATCAGACAGTCTTTTATTCTAATTATGAAAGGGAAAAGGCATTTTTTGGCCAACAATTTTTATTGCAAAGAACTCAAAGAACATGATGACTGATAACCACCGAGGTTATAGAAGCTCACGTCAAACAGAATGGGGCAAACCATGGGGGTAGAGGAACGTCTGAGAATTCAATCATCAGGTAAACATTTGACTGTTGGCAGATTATCTTGGTCACATAATTACCAGCTATCTAGGCAAGTTCTTGGTGGACAGGTGGGAGTGTCAGGTTAAATTTGCTTTGTATGAAATTTTTCTTAGTTCTTTAGTAGAGAAAAAGCGAAATTAAAATTATGTTTCTAAGTTTGGGGATAAATAAAGCTATAAAAAAAGATGCTAAATTGAGAGTAGAAATGAAGATGAAGCTAGAGAAAGGGAAAAAGAAAGAAGAAAATGGAAGAGAAAAGTATTAAGAGTTAGAAAGGAGTGAGAAAGAAGGCAACGAACATGGGAAGAGGAAGAAGGATGAGATGCAGAATAGGAATTCCTTTGCCTGTATGTTTGGCTTGCTTGTGGAGCTATTATAATCTTATTCCCTTTTCAACTCAAGCAAAATAAATTCTGAGAGAGGCAGTCTTCCTATGAGAACTCAGCTTCACACTGCCTTAGAGTACCAGGGAGGCAGAGACGGACCACAGTTTGGTAATCCTGGCCTGGACTTGGTGCACAGCACTCTTAAATACATGTTCCCTCACAAGATTTTGTACCTGAGACTTGTAGTCTTAAGGGCTGGGAACCAAAACCTCACCTTAATGGATAGGTATGGACACTGGGGGCTAGGACAGAGTCAGAATTCCTGAACTACGGCATGATCTAAAATAGAAATCAAGGCTGGGGTGTCTTGGGAAGGGAGATAGGAAACATAAAAAGAGGAAAGGGTGGAGAATGGTGCCCGCCTCGCTCAGTCTTCTGAGTGAGTGCCTTGGGAGTCATGAGACTCTCCTCCACACTCCCTCTCCCTCTAATCCCTCTGCACTCTGTGGAGTCCACCTCTGAAATGTCTCTCATCTATATCCTCTTGTCACTGTCACCCCCCGCCATCTGTGGCAGCAGAGACAGATGAGTTCTGCATGAAGGTGACCCCAAGGTGAGGGTATCAAAGCCCTCCCTACATCCCACAATGGATAAATGTGCTGTTTCTCATGAATAGATGCTAAATGATCTTTTCCCTTTCATTTTGGAATAAGAATTTTTTTCCTTAATGTTCTTTTTATATTGTTCTGTCTCATGTCTTAGAAAATTGCTCCTTTTGAAGCCCATTAGCCTGATAAAGCCTGATGAATATTTTAGGGGCCCATGGAAGATAAGCAGGAGGGGTCCAGGCACATGTCTCCAAAGTCCTGTTACACTCCACTGAGTGTACAGCTCAGTGCCTGTTACACCTCACTAGAGGTCCTAACCTAGTTTACACTTCCTTTCTGCTCAATGCCTGAGATGAGACGCTGGGCTGGGTGCAGGCTCTTGGGCAGGGCCTATCACTGGGGTGGAGCTGACCCAGGGGTATAGGTAGCGCATAAAGGAAGACCTGGAGACAGAGTCTAGGGGTGATAGGAGAGTGAGGAATGAAGGAGAGTATTTGAATGAGTAAGTATCCGATGGAGAAGGCCTGATGCATCCTGGACTTGGTGATTTATAATCAAGGACAGCCAGGCAGCATATTACAGAACCTGGAATATGGTTCACATCCTGGGGATGTTCTCTGAGGCACCGGGAAACCTCTGGTCAGGTTCAGGGTACAGAAGGAACAGAAAGCATGACCCTGACCACATGACCCTCTGCCCTTGGGAATGTAGGCAGAGCACAAAAGTCAGCCAAGTAGCCCTGGGGGGCTCCCCCATTGTGGCTGCCACACCCATCCTCCCAGGCACCATCCTCAGGGGCACGACTGCCATGTTGAATCCATGTGCTAGCTGCCTCTACAGCATTCCACGTCTGCCGAAGCTGGATGAGGAACGATCCTCTGGCTCACTTTCTTTTATAACACTTACAACATTTTTGCAGGATAATATCAAAAAATTCCAAGCATTAAGTAAGATAATTCCATAACAGCAGCAGCAAGCCCTCTCAATATTACCATCTTTCCTAGGCATTTTTCTGGCAGCTTTTCTAAAGGTTATTCCATGAACAGCGGCCCCTGTGATGGCCTGTATAAAAACAGTTACCCTGCACACCGAGCCTTGTGTTTTTTGGATTTCCCATTTCATTAGCATATCCAAGACTTCCAGCAGCCTCAAGGAATATGCCTGTAATAACTTTTCGACCCTGCTGGAAAATGAAACTTTTCTATTTATAACATTCCTATAAACATTCTGTGAACAACAGTTGGGAAAGGTCTATTTGGATGACACTGTGTATCCAATTTGAAAGTTTGCTGGTTTCACTTAATACCAGCATTAAAATTCCTTTACCAACTTCATTTTAGGTGGCTGTATAATGTGGATATACTATAACATACTTAAATATTCTCTGATTATCAGGTAATACTATGTGCCTGCAATTATAAATGATGCTGTAATGAGTTCCTTTGTATATAAATATGTGTCTGCATTTCTGATTACATGCATGGGAAAGATTCCTGGAAGTGGAATGACTGGGTCAAGGTTGGAGGTGTTCTGAAGACTCTCAGCACATATTGTCAAATTTTTTTTTCTAAAAAAGGTTGTGCTGATTTATACACTTGCCCTCAGAGTGTGAGAGCGCTGATGCATTGTACCCTTACCACATTGAGCATTAAAATAAATAAAATAAAAATAAACAAATAAACAAACAAACAAATAAATAAAAACATTGCAAATTGAAAGGGGATATATTTTAGCTCATTTTAATGTTGGTCACAAAAGATGGCAAGATTTATATTCTCCAAGGTCAAAAGGGAGGGCCTTCTGGGAATGTGGAGCCATCTGAGGTAAGACTCAGAGGTAGGAATGACTAGGAATTTCTCTAGTTAGCTTCTAATTGGGCATCCAAGCAGGCTTTTTGCTCAGACTAGGTTTATGCCTGCAGACTTGTTGCACCAAGTAATCTCTGAAGGCAGCTAAAGAAAATGCCTAATTAGGGTTTCATACATGTGGATCTATGATCAAGAAGAGACCTGCATTAACTCTCTGTTAGAACTGTAGGAATAAACTATAATTCAAAAATGATCAAGCCAGGAGGAAGCAAAATTAATATGTCAGTGCATAGGCGGACCAAAAAATGAGGAAATTAGGCAAAGTGATCTTTCCTGAGAAGAGAGAACTTTAATTCCCAACTGTTCGTGAATCACTGGAGAATGCAGCTGGCACCAAGCATGTCCAACACCATCCCCTCATGCCCAAGGCCTCAGCTGGACCAAAGACACTGTGTTCTCTGAGAACCTGCAAGTGCTTTCCTGAGGTGGGTGGCTGCAGCTGTTTAGTAAGTCAGAGACCAGAGACCCAGAGACAGATGTTGAGGAAGCATAGCAGGGACAATGTCAAAGGAGGTCTGAATTGGGAGTAGGCTCGTACTCCAGGGTGAGTTTGTGGACCAGGTGCAGAGCACTGTGAGATCCCAGGGAGTAGAGAGATGACTTCTGGCTGGGAAAAGGTGGTGGTCTTTAGTTTAGATATTGAAGTATTGTTAAGGTTTCATTAGGAATAGATAGCAAGGAAAACATTCCAGGCTAATGGAGCAGAAACCTTTTATTCTTCTCATCATTCATCTTTCTTTTTTTGGTGCCAAAGAAGGTACTAGGTTTGGGGCATATGGAGGTGTAGTCACTCATTCACTCCTGCAGATATTTACTGAATGCTTATCCTGCTTTATGAATGAAAGAAAGCACTTGCCTTTATGGAGCTTCCAGTCCAGTCATAGAACTGACAAAAGGGCTTACAACAGATTGTGACTCATGCATGAACAGATTTGTGCAAGGTGCCAAGGTAACCCTGTGCATGGGAGTGTCTGATTGCACTGGGAGGAGGGAAGGAGCAAAGACATAGAGTGTGGAGGGGTTCGGTTGGTTTGGGAAGGGGAGGAGTGAGAGATGAGGTTATCAGGACAGATGTGGAACTGAGGGCTGAGGATGTGGACTCCTTTTTTTCTGTAGTTAACAGGAGATCTAGGCGGGCGTTTCTGGGTGGGAGGAGGATAGTACTCATAACAATTAATCTTGGAACATGTGTTTTGATTTTGAAGCAGCTTTTCATATTCCCTATTCTATTTAATTCTTGCTACAACCTTGTAGCAAGAAAATAAAGGAAAAGAAATGATGTGGTTTCTAATCTCAGAAACTTGATATTGGGAGTTAGATTTAACGCACATCCCGCTGCATGTTACACACACACTGTGTGTCTTTCCATTTCACACACAACCAGTGTCTCAGCTTCACATACTCACTGCCCAATGAGGATCTTGAGCAGAGGCTGATCTCTCGAGTGATGAACTTGTTTGTCAGGTTGTCCGTCCCTGAATGGCCCCCCTTGAGGTTCTATAGGCACTTAAAACTCATCATGTCCAAAATTGAGCTGAACACCCACCGAGCTCCAGCCTCATCTGCTCTCTTTCTTGTGAGGGATCAGCAAATGATCCCTCATCCAGTCTGTCATCCAAGCCAGAACTCTGGGCATCGCTTTGGACTCCT